ACTGTTAATGGACAATTATATAAGAAAACCATGTAATAACATTAGATGTGTGTTGATTGGGAATATAAATGTGCAAGTGCTGTTGTATCAGAGCATGCCTTATTTGCTAAGAACCCAAATGATTTGTAGCAAATATTAAACATATTATATAATGCAAAGAGGGTAGGTGAGGATCTGAAAATAGTTGTGCCTGATTAGGAAAATGGATTGAATATTAGCAAGTGATATGTTAATGGCAAAAACTTGGAATGTTGTAAATAGACAACATTTTAGTAAAATTTTACTAAAGATAGCAAAATGCATGAAAATACTTTGATAGAAATAGAGATAAGAATGCATCAGTTGGAAGGGATGAGTATTTTCCAAAGGAAATAAAAATGGTTTTTTTACAGTTTGTTTCTACTCACTTTATTATGTGGAAGTTCTTATTAGAACGGGTAGCCATATAAATTTATTTATGAATAGATAAATAAGTTATATGGAAGTGAGAATTAAGTGTTCCAGGAGAAAATGAACTGGGAATGGAATACCTAAAATATGTGGTTAAAACAAATTCAGATTAAGCATGTTTAAGTGATGAATGGATATAAAAGTCAATTCACTACAAAACAAGTTTGTTGGTCATGGAGAGAAAGGTATTATAAAAACTAGATTTAGTTATATTACTTTTTCTCTTGTAGTTTTAGTGTATTTTGTGTACCTATTTTTATTATTTATATTACTTCAAACTCCTTTCCAAGGTCTGCATAATGTTGCTTGCTTTGAAATGGAGGAACATGTATATAAGAATTTTGCTAGTGAAAATCCATAACAAATACTTAGACCTCTTACTGTGCCTCTTATGGTTTCCTCTAGATGTCAGCATTGTATCATGCCTCAGGAGTAATCTCCTAATAACCTTCATGACAACAATAAAGGCTTACTTAAAATCCTGCAGAAGATACTTTGGTGATTGTGATGCTGACTTCTAAATTAAGCCTGCATTGATCCCCTTTTATACTGTAAAGTTGATTTTATTAGATCAAGAATTTGAGCACCTTCCTTTTAATGGGGCTTCTTGGGACTGGAAGAAGGGTGTTATGTATGTGTTGTGTGTTCAGGTCCCTGAGAAATTATGTGACATGAATTGAAAACATGTTGAATAGAAGGTATGCAAGAACAGTATAACTTTTTAAATAAGCCCTCACACCAACATCTGTAAGACCAACCTTCCTGCAAACTACTGCCAGAGCAAGATGTGTTAAATGAACTGTCGAGTCAACAAGTGCAAGGCCTATGGATTCAAATCCTGTTGAAGGGTTGAACATGAACAACTAGCATGGAGAGTACACTTGAAGAATCCTCAGTAAGGATGAAATTGGTCATGCAGTGCATTTTACTGGTCAGTAACTAGAATTTCAGACTATTACAGTTTTATAACAGTAGACTAAGTGTTTGAGACTGAAAAAAACATATTTACAGTTTATGTAAATTGCCAAGGCTATTGCATTGTGCCATATTTTGATTTTATTTATTTAGTGTATAGCAAATAGATGGATTTATAGTAGTTCAAATGTTAATGTCCAGCCATTCAAGGACAGGGTGGTCTATGTTGAAAAAGTCAGCCATTGGATCGGTGTAAGTTTTTGATGGAATTCGGACACAATGTGATGGATATTTTGTCGAGGAGCACCACAGTCACAATGAGGGGTTGAGACAAGACCCCAGTTAAACAAGGAGTCCTGGAAGACACCATGGTACAGATCCTGTTCAGAGTTGACCAATGCTGGCGTGGAAGGTCAAAACCTGGCACCTTTTGTGTAGGGTCATCTGCGTAACTTCCTGTATCTGGGCATTCAGCAGCCAATTTGGTTTTCCACTGTGAGTTGATGTCAAAATTTGTTAGACAGCTGTTGATGCAAGTGCCAGAGGGTTTCCTGGATTTAAGCCTGCCAATTGATGATAAGGAAGATCACTATACTTTTGATTTTTCATTGCTTCCCAGTGTAACTACTGAAATCTGTGGTTATTTTACAATTGATTAAATGTGCATTCTGATAGTCATATGAACTAAAGACTGATTATTTTATTTTGTAAAGAATCAATGAATGTATTAAGCTTTATAGTGTCGGAAAAGTGTTGCTTTTGTTGCACTAATGCTATTTCTCTGCAATCTTAGCAGGCTATATTAAGAATATGAAATACATGAGATATTGTAGTGGTTTATATAGCGATAGACCTATGTACTCTCTTGCTTTTTTCCCTTTAAATGTTTACCATAGTTACTTTGACATATTCATTTTCCTTGGCTTATTCTTGAAAAGGAAATTTATTTGATTGTAAAATGACAGAAATGTGAAACTTTATTTACAATTTCTATTGCTGTCAGTGTCTATTCAATGTGATAAACAAATATAAATGAACTAGACAAAAACCAAAACGAAACAAATCAAATGAAAGTCTTATTAATATTATCATAAAACAAAACAAAACATTGCTTAGCATTGGAGTTTGTTTAGATGATTGACCAAAAATGAATAAACTTATCTTTGGTCATTAAAAACAGTCAAAAACAGAACAATTTTCAGTCTATTGAATGTTATAGATTTGATAAGAGCCCCAATGTGCTGGATGTCAGCTAGGCCAGATGTTCATAGCAGTGGAACACATTTTATCTTTTCAATGGGCAACTGATAAAAGAAATAAGATGTATATAACTCTTATACTTTGCATTAGCACAGTGTTCTTCTATCTTGACAACTTTAAGATATGTGGATTTCAACTCCCAGAATTCCTGGACAGCACTGAAAAGTCCACACATCTTAAAGTTGCCAAGGTTGAAAAATACTGCTTTAGAAGACAAAAGAAAGAGAAACTTGCAGTATTATAAAATGAAAACTCCATTCTGAATTGCCTGAGAGTTTCAGGAGGTTTGTTTTCTATGCTGATGAAAGCCTGGATTGACAGCTTGCATGAGTAATTGCAAATCGCCTAGAAATTAGTAAAATATATTTACATATTCACATACATGTAGATGACCTGCAATAACCCTTCAAAGCAACCACACTAGCATTGAAAGAATGTGGCTGCTTTAATACTTCAAGAAGGGGTACTTTGCTTCCTCTAATGTGCTTTGCAAAATACCTTTTTTAATCCTGTGCATACTCTTATAGGTTCTATAGAAGATTATAAAATTCTCTGGAATAACAGTGAGGGAAATAACCCATCCTGATCAGGGGTGGTATTCAGCAGGTTCTGACCAGTTCTGGAGAACCAATAGCAGAAATTTTGAATAGTTCAGAGAACTGGCAAATACCACCTCTGACTGGCCCTGCCCCCATCTATTCTCTGCCTCCCGAGTCCCAGCTGATCAGCTGGGACTCCTTTTGTTGCCCTGCACAGGAGAATAGAGCTGGAAAGCAGGTTAGTGGGTGTGGGGAGGGAATGGGATTTTGCAGTATCCTTCCTCTGCCACTCTCACCAAGCCATACCATGCACACCAAGCCATGCCCACAGAACCTTTTTTTTTTAAATCCCACCACTGATCCTGACATATTTTTACCAAAAGCATATATAAAGAAATAATTTGTTCATCAGGGACATTTATTTATCTATGAATATATGTGCTTGAGAGTGTCACCCTGTTAAATGCAGTATTGTAGTTTTTGGACCCAGTTTTTGATAGAAGAAAATTGGTTACCTACCAATTGGTTATTTTCTTATTTCTGTCATAATCACTCCTCCAATAACAGTGCTGGTTTCCTAATGGTATCATACCGACATGATTGTTGAGTCGTATAAACTGCCCTGCCTTTTTCTCTCATCAATTATGTAGCTCATTCATGCATTTAGTATTTACTAATGTTTAGTATTTATGAATAAACGTAATGTCCAAACACTATAAAGTACTTCACATTACCTCTGATTCTTAAAATAAGATACACAGTAGTGTAGTTATTATAATATTCACCTTGGATGGGAGGACTTGTATTCTTACCTAGATTTGTCAACAAATTAACATGACTTAATTATTTCAGCTCAACAGAAGGCTATAGATGTGATCACAGAAGTAACAAATCTTTAAAGCAAACCCTTGCAAGAACTACTCCCTCAGTTGTTACTGATAGAGGAAAAGACTGTCAGCTAGGGTTACTCATGATTATTATCCGAAAAGAGTTCATGCTTTTCATGGTGGTGAAAATAAGAGAATGGCATTAGTTTAAGATTAGAAAAGGATGTATTAATGGCCAAACAACATTGTAGACCATTTGCATTGCATTGGTAATGTCCAATAATTAGCTTCAATGATTTTTTTTAGACATATTGCATGACATCTAAAATCAGAGGATAAGCCCACCAGTGTCTCTTATGTTGGAACCTTCCATGCCTGAGAGGTAGTACACTACTGATGCCAGTTGTTGAGAAGTATCTATAGATTTCATATACTGCTAATTGGATTTCCAGAGATACCTGATTGGTCAGCGCAAGAAATAAGAATGCTGGACTTGATAAATCTGACCTGATTAGGATTGATAAAAGCTAAAATCAGAATTGGGAGAAATGAGGTATTGGGAGAAGAGACATAAAAAGGAGAGATAAAAAGAAGAGAGATAAAAAGAACAGGGATGGTTAATTTTGGAAGGGTGATAGAGCCTTAAACATTATAGTAATTAGTGTGTAGTATGACTCTGAGAAATCTAATACAATATGAATCTTTGAAATCGTTTTTGAACAGCCTATGTACATGTTATATATGAATAATATATGCAGCTTATTTACAAAAAATACGTTGAAAACTTGAACTTCAGAGGCTGAGAAAGATACCAAAAGAAAAACAGCAGGAGCAGCAGCAGCAGCAGCAGCTTGAGGTTCATAATCGCATAAGAGGAGCCTCAGAGTCTAGGACTGTGGATGTTTGTTAGGTTGAAATACTTAGCAAAAGAGAGTCTGGGCAAGATGTATTGAAATGTTGCCATTAATATGTTATATTTGACAGCTTTTTCTTTTCTTTTTTCTTGTAGCAGCAGGAAAAACTCAAACTGTTGGAGGATTTCATGTCAACTTGGGAAAGGAGTCGCGGGCCCAGACTTTGCAAAATGGTAACTTGTAATTCTTATTTTTATTTAGCCTTGCTAAAGAAAGCTATCCTCGAGCTAAATTAACCCACTATGATTTTGGAGGGTGTATCAGAGAGGAAGTACATCTTTTTAGAGTGGGGCTTATGCAATTCCCTTTAAATTGTGAATTGAGTTGGAAGAAATTTCTACTGAAAATCATAGTTGGTGGCAGCAAATAGTAATTAAGGCAAGGAGAAAAGCAAGGCATGTTTGACATTTCTGTCCCCATAGCTTGCAAATAAATTGCTTTAAATGTCAAATGTACTTTAATTCTAGGATTGAAGCATTTTCCCTCAGTTCAGTATAGACCTAGTTTAGCTGAGTCATAAATCTCGATCTCTTGAATTCAAGTAGAATAATAACCCTTCAAGAGCAGATTGACGGAGGGCAGCTGCACTCAGTAGCTTCACAATAAGAGTGTCTTTCCTAGGTGGTGGAGTGGGCAGTCTGAGACCTTCCCAGATGTTTTAGACTAATTCTTCATTCAATGTGGTGAAGAAGAGGAAGAATACAAAATGAAACAAAAAAGAAATAGAAGGCATCAGCTTGTCTGTCCCATTAGAAATGCAATGTTGAAGCTAAATAAGTGTGGATCTGTTAAAGCTTGAATGAAAGACCATTTTTCCACTATAAACTAAAATAGTGCGTGTGCTTTTATTCTTAAACTCAGAAGAACCTATGTGCTTGGTATTTATGGTAGAATTTGTGAAGTTTTCAAATCAAAATTATAATTTTCATTTTCTAATCAAGTTTTCTGCAATCACAAGCAATGTACTTTAGAAAAGTACAAAAGCAATCCATTGGGTTAGATTGGAGGTAAAAACACCTCTTCATGAATTTAGGCTGGAGAGCAATTTCTTCAGTTCTTTTCTTAATTTGAGAAGTTGGAGCTGGAAGCAGATGGTTTTTGAGTAGGCCAGGGGTGTCAAACTGGTGACCCCCAGGCCAGATGCATCATTTGCAAGCCACGCCCACCCCAGCTCCGTGAAGGGGAAAGTTACAAAACGTCATGTGAAGACAATGTGACATCACAAGTTTGACACCCATGGACTAGACAGTCAGAAAGTCAGGTTTTTGTATGGTATTAAATCAAATGTGGCTGATTCAGAGTCTATTCCAATTCCATTCCAATTCACATTCCGTTCTATTCCATTCCATGGCTTTATATTATATTACATTCCAGTCATTGTTCATATTCAATTACTAAATGGATTCTCCTACTTTTTATTTTGAATATGACATGTATTATATTTAAAAGAAAATCTCATTACAGAAAATGAATGCTAGCTTTAAAATTCAGAATTTTGTTTCAAATGTTTTATTTTACTGTGCATTTAATTTCAATAAATAGCCTTTGCTGTCACACTGTTCAGGTTATTGCCTCTTACTTTTCTAATATAACATTGATGTTCTCGTTAATTATTTCTAATAATATCTATGCAGTAATTTGCTTGAATTTTCTCTCATAAAACTAGATTTTTTCATTAATTACTTTCATAAGTGAGAGGAATTTTGGAGTAATAATTCAGCAAAACCCATGTTTATTAAGTACCTTTTTTATGCCATCTCTGTAGATTTTTAAAAAAACAACAGATTTCAATTTGTACCGCTGAATCTGTATTAAAATCAAAACAAGGACCTAGAAACAATAACTCATCACTGCCTGGTGGGACTACTACAGCACGTTCTATACGGCTTTGCTTTTAAATATCATTTGGAAACCTCTGTTGACCGAAAATTCAAAAACCTACTTGCTGATGGGTGTTAGACACCCAGAACATATTTCATCTGCTGTGAGTCCTGCATTAGCTGTCTGTTATTTTAAGAGCAATTTAAATTGTTGATTTTATGACTTGGTACTAAGATACCTGCAGGACCGCCTCCTTCAACTAGAATTAATATATCTGGTACAATCCATACAGTATAAAAAAACTGTTGGGAGTTCCCCACTATTAAATGATCAGAGTAGCCAAGCTGGGAGAAGATGCTTCTCCATTAAGGCCCCATTTTATCACCAGAAGTGGGGCTGTTTGCCTTCTGGAAGCAGGTTAAAATGGAGTTCTTGCAGAGAGCCTTTTTAATGAGTGAAGATAGTACTTTAGAAGTTATTTATGTGTTTCAGTTTTAAGGTAATTTTAAGTATTTGTTATGATTGCATAATTGCATTTCTGTGCTATGGATGTTTTCCATTGCAAATTGCTGAAAGTTACATGATTGCAGTGGTTTTAAAAATAAATCATATAAAATACAGAAAATATATTAAAGCATGTTAACCATTGACAGAAGCAAAATGTTAGTTCTAATTTTATGTCTGTTATGTTGTCTTCCTATGATTTCTATCATTTGTGAAAATAAAGTAGATTTTTAGACACTTTGGTATATTATTTGGGAGTTTTAAGGACTAACATAAGTCTAGTGTCAGGGTTGGAGTTGACATCTAGTTGAATTGGACGTTTTTTGTGGAACTCTTTGGGTAATGTTTATGAAGAATATAAACTTTGATTTTGAGTCTTTGAATCTTTCCCTAGTGGTGTGAAAATCCTGTCTTTCAGTTCTGTAGTCAGACTGAAATATTACTTTTGCTATTTAGGGCATGCTCATGAAAAGGCAACCTCACAGAAGATCCTTTGTTTTAGAAATATATTTCTCAGGACTCCTATCAAAGGCTTCTAACCTACCGGAATGAATCCTGGACCCTTGTTGTTTGGCTCTCTCATGTCCATCAACTTTTGCCTGACTAATCCGTGGCAATGGGGTGTTTGGGTTTAAATCAGATTTTGATTCACTAAAACCTCGCACTATAAAGCAACAAGAAGAAGAGCAACAACACTTAAAGCATAAAGAGCAACAACACATAAAGCATTTGAAAATGTTGAGCTGACTGCTCTGAGAATTGGGCTTCTCTTTTGGGTAAATCTGCAGCTGCCTTACTGTCAGTGCATGATTGGTAAATCTCTTTCACTTGATGGAAAGGAATGCATCCTTTTAATATGCAACAAATTCACTTCTGGCTCACTGCCACACAGTTTCTGAGAATTTTTTTTCCAGCAATAAAAGCTGTATGCTAGTAGATTGTGCAGGTGCTGAAAATGTTTTCTATTACCATATACAATATTGGGGCATGTAAGGACATCCTTTTGGTTTCTGTGCACAGTGTACTTGGCAGCCACATTTTTTCCCACGTTTTGGCTAAGTCAACAATGGTTGGAACACTGAAAACACCTTTGTAATTTTCCTCCTTATTAGCATTTGGTTTTTTTTTTAAAAAAAGGTTATAATATGAGAATTTTGCACCCCACTCCTAGTGATATAGGTCCTGTATTGTCATGGGGAATTAGGGCCTTAAAAGAAAGAAAGGTAGTTATCATTCACATAAAAATTATAGTTTAGCAACAATTAATTTTTGAAGGATGAAGGCACAAATCCTCTAGTGCACGTTGTGGATGGGAACGATACACTATTATTAGATACATAGATAGTTGAGGATATGATATGCATGTAGCTGGCATGATAGTTTGCTATACCCAGTATGAAGATGGTAGATCTCTTATTTGTCAGTAAATTATTCTGTTAGTCTGTTAGCTAGTCCTGGTGGTTTTTTTTTTTTTAAAAATAATACTTTTTATTAAAGCTTTTACAGCTCTAAAAGATAATGCAAACTGAAGTTACAAGGAGGTCCTTGCTTAACAATCTGTGATTCCCTTTTAAAATGGCAAACAAGACTGCCTTGGTAGCATAGTGGTTAGAGTGCAGTACCGTAGACTATTTCTGCTAATTGCTGGCTGCCTGCAATTTGGCAGATTGAATCTCACCAGGCTCAAGATTGACTCAGCCTTCCATCTTTCCAAGGTGGGTAAAATGAGGACCCAAATTGTTGCTGACTCTGTAAACCATTTAGAGTACTGGTCGCCAACTGGTGGGCCGCGGCCCACTGGTGTTCTGTGAGAAAATTTTGGTGGGCCACAATGTGCTGAAGACCAGATGGCTGGAGGGGAGGTAGGGCAATCCTGCAGTCTCCCTAGCAACCCCGTGTTGTGGCTGCTGCCTCCTGCCATTGAGGAGGCCCAGCAGCAGCAGGAAGAGCGCGGACCTCCTGAGCTGCAGGAAGCGGCTGCCAGCGATGCCCTCAGGTAAAGATGTTGCAAGGGGGAGGTTTGATTCCCCTCTTCCTCTTTGCCAGAATTGCTCACATGCCCAGTGGGAAGGAGGAGGCTTGTTGGGTGCCAGAGGGCCAGTGAGCGCTTTGCTTGTGAGTGCTTCTGGCGAGGAGGAAAAGAAGCTTCCGAGGGGAGGGGGTTGATCCTCCCCCTTGTGAGGAGGAAGAGAAGCTCCTGAGGGGAGGGGGTTGATCCTCCCCCTTGCAACATCTTCATCTGAGGGCATTGCTGACAGCTGCTCGACCTCCTCGATACGTGGAGGCAGGAGGAAGCACCAGTTCCGAGGTTCCTTCCCCCCTCCCCCCTTAGGGGGGGAAAGAGGGGGAAAGAGAGAGGGAAAGAGAAAGAGGGAGAAAGGGAGAGAGAGAGACAGGGAAAAAGGGAGGAGGGGGGAGTGAGTGAGAGAGAGAGAGAGAGAGAGAGAGAGAGATGAGAGATCCCGGTGTTTGAACCCAAATGACTCTTTGAGTATTTAAGGTTGCAGAAACAGGCAGCCAAGCTAAGTGCCTGAAGGACCTCATCCTTTCAGTGCGAGTCTAGGCATTTCAGTGAGTGGCATGCTGGATTCATATTAGTGGTCCGCGGGGTTTAAAAGTATGACTGGGTGGTTTGTTAGGTTCAAAAGGTTGGCGACCCTTGATTTAGAGAGGGCTGTAAAACAATATAAAGTGGTATATAAGTTGTTAGTTTTTGCAACATAAATTCAAATCCAGAAAGCACACAAAGGTGATTGATTCAGCAGGATTCATTAACTTCTTTATATACATAATAATATGTTAAGTAAATGTACAATACCAAAGTAGGTTCTTCCAACATGGTAGAGAG